TATTTCATTAACTTTATTGAAAGTTAATAACAATAAACTTAATATAATTGTCTGCTGGACTTTGATAACATAGATAAGAACTTTAGATTTCGCATTATTTATGTGTTTCAACTTGTTTTAGAATATAAAATGTAAAATACCATTTTACTAACTAACGGTTAATTATATCACTTTGATGCTTTTACTTTTTGGAATAATATCAATGTACATATAATAATACAAACTGTGTCAAATTTTAATAAATTCAGCTGTATCATTTTTATAAAGTAACACACGCTAATCATTTTTCGAGCTCAGTGGAATTACTGTGAAGTAATTGTGTGGATAGGAATTAGTTTGCAATTAACTGTATATCTTTTATGTCTTATAACAATGGCAAAAATTAAGATTATTTAATGTTTATTCTGCTGCATAAACAGAAGACCATTGACATTTTAATTTGCGTGGACTGTGTCATCCACGCGGCCGTTCCAGGGCTAAGGAAACAATAGTGTGATATCGCAATATGTGGTATGATTTAAAAAGAACTTATAACATTATCAATGTTCGGGTGTACATCCATTTCGACATGAAGTTTCAATTAACGGATACAAATAGCGTTAGATTAACGTGTGGAAATCGTTCGTGTAAATGGGAAATGTCGGAGTAGGAACAGGGATCGATTCGGCCGCAAACAACAAGTATGAATCATCGGGTCGTAGACGAAAAACTAATAATCGACGATTAGGAGTGTGACATGCGGCCCGTAGGTACTGTATCACGGATAGAATGACCAAAGAGCAGCTGTCAGCTGTGCACAGTGACATCACACGTAAGCTGGACGGTCGGTTAACGAGCATGATAACTAAAAATGAGAATGACGTGTATGAAACATACCCCGATTGAGATGCAATTTTCCTCGCCGCCGGAGGGGAATTTCACGATAAACTTAGAGCCAGCCTTTTCCTCGGAGTCGTTCAAAGGTCGAAACCTGCAGACTACCTTAATACTGTCTTCCGCGGCAATCTCACGCTCCCTTGGCGTCTCCATTGCCATATTTCGGTAGCCTGGATTCGTGACACGAGTTCCTTGGTTTTCTTAGTTAGCCGCACTTAAGAATGATTTCCAATGTTTCGTAGCGTACATAGGAGACGGGATGATCGCGTGAACCGCATGAAGAACCACTACTGTCTCTCTGTCACAAACCACAGCCCGTTTTCAAAGCAGCAAAGATGGCTGCCGTTATTCGATGATTTTGCGGCTCAACTGATTTGCGTGTGCAAAGGTGAGAATCGGCGACCGTAGTTGCACGTAGACCGGACGAGAAACATGGACGATGAATCGCACGCGGCGATTTTACTTTCTAATACATTACAACTGTACAGACTATGGTCCGGGAAGAGGTATTTGATTATATACTTGGTTTTCTAAAAAGCAATCGATGAGAGAGTCTAGACAAAGTTCAACGCAAACGCAGCCAAGTAAATGTGTGCGCGCGCGCGCCGACTGCCCTACCGTGCTCGTCTTGATTCGCCTGCTTGCGCACTCGATACACCATTGTCGGCGGATATCATACGTTGTCAGGGCTGTAACACGCGTGGGCGTCGTTCCTCATTCTACTTTCTTGTGAATTACCTTTTTTGTAAANCTTTTTCATTAACTTTATTGAAAGTTAATAACAATAAACTTAATATAATTGTCTGCTGGACTTTGATAACATAGATAAGAACTTTAGATTTCGCATTATTTATGTGTTTCAACTTGTTTTAGAATATAAAATGTAAAATACCATTTTACTAACTAACGGTTAATTATATCACTTTGATGCTTTTACTTTTTGGAATAATATCAATGTACATATAATAATACAAACTGTGTCAAATTTTAATAAATTCAGCTGTATCATTTTTATAAAGTAACACACGCTAATCATTTTTCGAGCTCAGTGGAATTACTGTGAAGTAATTGTGTGGATAGGAATTAGTTTGCAATTAACTGTATATCTTTTATGTCTTATAACAATGGCAAAAATTAAGATTATTTAATGTTTATTCTGCTGCATAAACAGAAGACCATTGACATTTTAATTTGCGTGGACTGTGTCATCCACGCGGCCGTTCCAGGGCTAAGGAAACAATAGTGTGATATCGCAATATGTGGTATGATTTAAAAAGAACTTATAACATTATCAATGTTCGGGTGTACATCCATTTCGACATGAAGTTTCAATTAACGGATACAAATAGCGTTAGATTAACGTGTGGAAATCGTTCGTGTAAATGGGAAATGTCGGAGTAGGAACAGGGATCGATTCGGCCGCAAACAACAAGTATGAATCATCGGGTCGTAGACGAAAAACTAATAATCGACGATTAGGAGTGTGACATGCGGCCCGTAGGTACTGTATCACGGATAGAATGACCAAAGAGCAGCTGTCAGCTGTGCACAGTGACATCACACGTAAGCTGGACGGTCGGTTAACGAGCATGATAACTAAAAATGAGAATGACGTGTATGAAACATACCCCGATTGAGATGCAATTTTCCTCGCCGCCGGAGGGGAATTTCACGATAAACTTAGAGCCAGCCTTTTCCTCGGAGTCGTTCAAAGGTCGAAACCTGCAGACTACCTTAATACTGTCTTCCGCGGCAATCTCACGCTCCCTTGGCGTCTCCATTGCCATATTTCGGTAGCCTGGATTCGTGACACGAGTTCCTTGGTTTTCTTAGTTAGCCGCACTTAAGAATGATTTCCAATGTTTCGTAGCGTACATAGGAGACGGGATGATCGCGTGAACCGCATGAAGAACCACTACTGTCTCTCTGTCACAAACCACAGCCCGTTTTCAAAGCAGCAAAGATGGCTGCCGTTATTCGATGATTTTGCGGCTCAACTGATTTGCGTGTGCAAAGGTGAGAATCGGCGACCGTAGTTGCACGTAGACCGGACGAGAAACATGGACGATGAATCGCACGCGGCGATTTTACTTTCTAATACATTACAACTGTACAGACTATGGTCCGGGAAGAGGTATTTGATTATATACTTGGTTTTCTAAAAAGCAATCGATGAGAGAGTCTAGACAAAGTTCAACGCAAACGCAGCCAAGTAAATGTGTGCGCGCGCGCGCCGACTGCCCTACCGTGCTCGTCTTGATTCGCCTGCTTGCGCACTCGATACACCATTGTCGGCGGATATCATACGTTGTCAGGGCTGTAACACGCGTGGGCGTCGTTCCTCATTCTACTTTCTTGTGAATTACCTTTTTTGTAAAAACTACGTCATCGGCGATCAGCTTCCGAAAGTAACATTTGGATTAAAACTACCTTTCAAGGGAGTAGGGTACTTCAAAAATTTCGAGAAATTGAAAAATCCCTTGCTTTGCTTGAACGCTGGTTCTAAACAATCCAAGTCCGTAAAGATGAAATTGGAAAAGTTCGAATTTTGGATAAAAGTTATTTCATATATACATATCGAAATACAGAACTGAAAAAATATGTAATAGATTTGCAAACATTAAAAACTTTTTTTTCTAAACAACATTTTCCGTAATAGTATAAGAATCTATACTTTCTCGCTTTAAAACTTCGGTGTTATTTTTAATAGAACAGTACTTTGAGAACGACGGCCAAATTTTTCTTTTAATTCTGCAATTATCTTTAAAATAATAAAGGGGACGTGTAATGTAAATCGTTTTCAACGGATGTTAAAACTTTAATAAGAATAGATAAGGTAATCATGACAGATACGTATCATACACACAATATCTTTTCGTATTTCTGTTTTTGTTTTGGTTGCGATAGGAAAATTTTGCTAAAGTATGGGTTTTTACGATTAGGTCGGAAACATGAACATTCGTTTTAGCTCAAGCTTTCAATTATATCGAACAAATAATTTCTTGTCAATGATTAATAGAATAACGTAGTAACAAATCATTGTTATGCGAAGAATTTTTTGAAGATTAATTTTGATTAAATAATATAACTATAAATGATACATGCGTATTGCGCTTGAATATAACATTATTGCCAATTAATTTTCAATTCCACTACCAGAGAGCGACTCGTGTCTGTTAAAGAAAACGCGCGCTGCATTGAAAATAAATTTCACTCCCCTAATTTTCCAAAGAGATCACTGTTGTATAATGTTACAATCTCTGACAACAATTCAAAATTGGTCAGCTTTACGTAACTTATAAAAACGTTCACAAAAGTTAACTAATAATTAAAACGTTTTTTTCGATTCAAATGCGATTCTATTTCATTATATTTCACTACTTTGTCTTCTTTCTATGGCGACCTTCTAAACCGACTTTTATCGATTCCACAAATTTTTCGTATCATGCACTTGCATGGACTCTAACATGAGATATTTCATCGCAAACCTTTCACTAAATTAATTGTTTTCAAATCTATAAACGAATACTCATATAGCTTTTCTAGTACACATCTTTAGGGAATTGTTAGAAAATTGGATTTTTTCTGAAAGATTTCAAATACTGTTTTAAACTTGCTTAAATCATAGGAAATATAATTTGTCAAGTAATAAATTTTAGTGAATAAAAGTAAAAAAACAACAATGTTTAATGTAACATAACAAAAGAGGCACATTTTATTTTCTTTAACAATAAAGTAAAGAATGCACTCACACAGTCATGGTTCATTGTAAATGTTGTGTTATCTAGGATTAACATGCCTGTAACATGTACAGTACATACTAAATTTTACTATTTTGCTATGCTACATGACTAGTTTACAGACGATATAAAGTGCAACTTATC